TAGGAACAAAAAGTGAAGGGTTTTAGGTATGGCAAATTGAATTTGAAGGGTGTAAGCCAAATTTACTATTGAAACTTAACCAAATCCAAGAATGGTTTACCTTAACTTGTAGAGGTCGTTCCAACGATCCTAATGGCGAAAACAGCGCAAGAATTGGAGTTGTAGAATGAAATTAACGGTAGAAAGAAGTTTGAAGGAGGAAGAAGGCTGGGCGGGCTGGCTCTCTCTCTCTCTCGCTCTCGCTTGTCCAGCCCAAAAAACCATCCTTTCCCCATTCTATACTCTTCGGAAACACCAACCCACACATGGGGAAAGAAGAGACCAACACGTGTCCTTTCAAACCTATTCCAGCGACACCTATGCTAAGCTGGCAAAAGTGGTCAACATTCAGCATGACACGTGTCCCTTACCTGGCCCAAGGATAGTCGCAGGATCAGATTACCAGTCAAGAATCTGACGCCCAAAATTTAGCCACATCATTTCTTGATTTCCAGTATTTCTAGATCTCCAAAAATTCACCGAGCACTGAAAAATACTACAAACTCATAAACACATGTACTTTCCTTTAATCACATCCAAATAACCATTTGATCTCAAGAAAAAAAAAGAAAAAAATTGTCTTGTACACTTCTAACAAACCCAAAATAATTCTCCAAAATTTTATAAATAGTTTTTAAGCACCATAAAATTTCCTGGGTGTCACACGTACACATACTGTAACATAACATATTTAGGTTTGAGATTTTGTAGCACCTGGTATCTTCTTGCTTCAAATTCAAATGACTAGCTTCTCGTGGCTTCATTATTATGCCTGTTTATCCCCATGCAGTTCTTACACTCAATTATTTCTTAATTTCCTATCACCTTTTGCACAAAAGAATAATTGGATGAATTGTCTATCCTCGGTTCAGTTTGAGTGATGAAGTGGGTTAAAAGTAGGCAGATTCCCATTGCTTTCAATTCTGGATACATTGTTATCTGACAGTTTTTGCTTGATATGCGTGCTTGATGTCTTTGAACAACTGCAGGTCGAGTTAAATATTTTGTGTACACCAATTGTCGTTTAATTGAGAGGCCAAATTAAACCAATTTGTTATGGTATCAATTTATCAAATGCCAAACTAATCCAGACTGGAAACAAGTTTTCAACAAAACGCAAATCCAATCAAGCCAACACAAACCAATAAAATTTCGGATTAATTTGGGTTGGGCCCATATTAAAATATTAAAATAAAAATACATTTTTGCATGAGATTTTGATTGATGGACTGACGGAAGAATATACATCGTAATTGCTTTGTTCTTTCCGGTTGGCCCACATCAGAATCTTCCAATCCAATGATAAAGAAGAGGATGTCAGAAGAAAATTCAAAGACAAGACTTGAAGAAGGAAAATCTGGGATTGGTCAAAATTGGACCCCAACCGCTAGCTCAAATTAAGGGTCAGGAAACCATATAGACCTAGTATATTTTTAAGTCAAGAAACCATCTTGTCTTTCCTTTAAGATAAAGTTGTTTGTACTTGTCAGTTGAGCAAGAAAAATGGGTTCCTCAAGATCAATGCTTTTCTTCATTAATCTTGCTATTATTATCTTTAACCTTGTTGCTCCCACCATAGCCCAAGATGATGGTGTGTGCACAGAAAAAGCTGAGTACTGCTTGAAATGCTCTGATACTGGCACCTACACAGCAGGTGACAAGTACCAAGAGAACCTCAACAGCCTCCTCTCTTCCTTCTCCTCCAACACCCAAAACAGTTCCGGGTTTTACAATTCATCCAGGGGACAAGACTCCAACAAGATCAATGCAATTGCATTATGTAGAGGAGATCTCTCACAGGACTCTTGTCAGGCTTGTCTCAACAAGTCTACTGATATTCTCTTGCGAAATTGTTCAACTCAAAAGGAAGCAATCATATGGGCAGAAGATTGTATGGTGAGATACTCATACAACTTGATATTTGGTATTAAACAAGAGGACCCTCTTGAGTATGTGCCTAGCCCAAACCCTCCTAAAAATCCTCAAAATTTTGAGCCGGTGCTTACCCCCTTGTTGGGTATTTTAAGGGACAGAGCTGCGTCAGGGAATTCTCTTCAAAAATTTGCAGCAGGGCATGCACCTGTCCCTGGAGATGAAACAATATACGCGCTTGCTCAGTGCACTCCAGACATGGACAAGCAGTTGCCTTAAACGGTCCGTCACAGAAATTCAAACCTGTTGCGGTGGAAAGCAAGGAGGAAGAGTTCTTAAACCCAGCTGCAATTTAAGGTACGAGGTTAGTCTTTTCTTTGGGTCTACAGCCAATTCGTTAGTAGATATTCCAGCTCCAGTTCCGGCAGCACCAGCACCTGAAGAAGGTATGTATGGTATAGTATGGTTACCTCGCATATCTTCAATTTGATCCATGTCTTACTGTTGTGTGGTGTGGTTTTGGCTTTTGATAAGATATCCCATCTGATTTTCAGCAAAAAAGAAGAGTAACACAAAACAAACTGTCATCATCATCGTTGTGGTTTTGGTTGTTTTTGTCACTATTGTCAGCAGCATATGCTTTTTCTTCAGAGTAAGGAAACGAAGGGTAAAACTTGAACAAGGTAAGTTCAACTCTGTTTATTTGTCTTATCTGAGGTTTTGGAACTCTGTTCGCTAATTCATTTTTCCCTTTTCAGATGAGAATTTGGAAGACGTTAGTCTGGTGGAATCGTTGCAATATGATTTTGAAACTATAAGATCTGCAACAGATGACTTCTCGGACGCAAATAAGCTTGGACGAGGTGGGTTCGGAGCTGTTTACAAGGTAACACAACAATCGCTTTCACAAGAAAAAATCTATTAATCTAAGCATGGTTTCCTTATTTTTCTGTTTTAAACATTCAGGGTAGGCTATTAAGTGGGAAACCTATAGCCGTGAAAAGGCTCTCCAAAAATTCTGAACAAGGTGATCGAGAATTTAAGAATGAGGTCATGTTACTTGCTCAGCTTCAACACCGGAATTTAGTAAGGCTCCTAGGATTTTGCTTGAAAACAGATGAAAGGCTTCTCATTTACGAATACGTACCTAACACAAGTCTTGATCACTTCATTTTTGGTACATTTTATTTCATATATTTTATAGTAATTTCTTAAAAGATTAAAAAAGTTCATATTTTATTTAATGAAATTGTATTTAGACCCAAACAATCACGAGCATTTGGATTGGGAAACACGTTACAAGATCATAGGAGGCATTGCTCGAGGGATTCTTTACCTCCATGAAGATTCTCGGGTTCGAATTATTCATCGCGATCTCAAAGCCAGCAATATTTTGTTAGATGAAGATATGAACCCCAAAATTGCTGATTTTGGATTGGCAAGACTGTTTGTTATTGATCAAACTCAAGGAGATACACAGACAGTTAGGGGAACCTAGTAAGTACTGTGATAATATGGCTAACTTATACTTTCATATTGAGCTCTCCTTACAACAGAAAGCTTCATTGAAAAACAAAAAAAACTTGCATGTCTAATAGATGGAATATAATTCATGCAGTGGATATATGGCTCCTGAGTATGTAATTCATGGTCGTTTTTCTGTCAAAACGGATGTCTTCAGTTTTGGGGTGTTAGTTCTTGAAATTGTAAGCGGTAAAAAGATTGGTAGTTTCCAATATGGCGAGAATGAAGAGAACCTATTAACCTATGTGAGTATGAATACATTAAAGTCATTATATATTCTCTGTTTTGCCTTGGTAAAATTTCTTTTTGAATATATTGATGTATTTTATAGGCCTGGAGAAATTGGAGGGAGGATACAATTCAAAACATCATAGATCCCGAGTTGATGACAAATTCACAAATCGAAACGATGAGATGCATCCACATTGGTTTACTGTGTGTGCAAGAGAATGTGGTGGACAGGCCAACCGTGGCTTCAGTTGTATCCATGCTTAACAGCCAGTCTCTCGCACTTCCAGTACCCTCACAACCTGCATTCTATATGCATCACAACACTGGATCAGACATATCTGCACTGACTGAGTCAGACCAATCCAAAAGCCTCTCTGTCTATGTCACAGAAAATGACCCTTCAAATATTACTGAACCATATCCTCGCTAATGGTCGAGTACCAACCATTCTGTAACAAATTTAGGCTTTAAATTTTGGTTTCTTTGCTATGTCAGCATTATAGTTGGTGTCTTCTTGCTTCAAGTTGGTATGTTCATCGTGAATAAAATGGCTTACCCTAGCTTCACTGTTATGCCTGTTTATCTTCATGCAGTTCTCTGTTTTCGAGCGGCAACAGAAGTTACTTTGATCAAAAGCTCTGTGCATGTGTCAGGAATTAAGGACTCAAATTTTACTGAACCATATGCTTGCTTGTGGGGCTGAGTATATATCAGCCATATTACAACGTTATGGCTTGCTGTGGAAGTGTATGAGATCCTTGATATCTTTCTATAACTGCAGCTGAAGTTAAAAATTTTCTCCGCATAAAACCAGTTGTCATATCTTTGGGAGGCCAAATTAAAATTAAGAAAGAACTTGTAGAATTATAGTTAGGGGACATGGTGGAGTGAATTCGTTTTGGTATCAAATGCCAAACTAAACTAATCAATCCGAACTGGAAACAAATTTTCAACAAAACCAAATCAACCCAAATCCAACCAACCAAATAAACAAGCCAACACAAGCCAATAAATTTTGGATTAATTTGGTACAGACCCGCCGTAGAGCATAGGGAATGTAAAGTGTGGCTGATATCAGCCGACACTATACTAGACCCACATGGCCTCTTCAAAGTTATGAAGGGTGCAATAAATTCTACCTATTCAATTGAAGCTATAAGTGGAGACGAGTTGTTACTTGTGAATTGAGCAAGAAAAATGGGTTGCTCAAGATCATTGATTGTGAAACTTCACCTTTATACCTGACGACAAACTTGGGATGCAAGTTCCACTTTGCACGTCCTATGCCCACTTTCCCCATTTTCGGTTAATGAGAGTTGTGCGTGATCGACCCCCAACCGTGTTCATGTTATCCCACAATTCATGTGGATTGGGGAGTGCGAGTGTTTGAATATATCCACTAACCCACATCGGGCCTATTGTGTATGAGTGCATGTGTGGACCCACATTGAGTGGTGCACATCCAAACTCGCATTAAGTGGCGTGTTAGATATTTACCATAGAAGCCAATATAAAATAGATATTTCTAAGGAAATAATATATAATAATCAAAAGGGCAAGAACATTGCTTTAAATACATAACGTACACAAAGTAACAAGTCTATGGATTAAGATATAAATGGAAAGTAATCTAAAAAAGTTAGAGGAGATCTCTCACAGGACTCTTGTCAGGCTTGTCTCAACAAGTCTACTGATATTCTCTTGCGAAATTGTTCAACTCAAAAGGAAGCAATCATATGGGCAGAAGATTGTATGGTGAGATACTCATACAACTTGATATTTGGTATTAAACAAGAGGACCCTCTTGAGTATGTGCCTAGCCCAAACCCTCCTAAAAATCCTCAAAATTTTGAGCCGGTGCTGTTGAATTATAAGCCTTAAGCTGACTTAAGAGTTAGTTAATCAGTTTTTTCCTTTTATCCTTGTTTTTTGACAAGTGTATGTTCTCCATTGGTTACCTAAGTGAACGGCTGAGATCATCTTGTGATGTAAGAGATCCAGCTACTGTGCATAACAGATATATTCCTCACACTATGTGTGTGAGGTTATTAGAAAGAAAATATGATGAAATGAACTCTCTGCTGCTACACGTATAGCAGACAGATTCTCTGCTAAATCTTTTCTGCTCCTTTCTTCTACTTAATTTTTCCTTCTGCAAAATCTGAATACACTAACATGGCCTCAGAGCCAGGTTGGATTGTCTAAAGAGCTGGGCGTTCAATCTGTGAAATAAGAAGATATCATCGGGAAATTTGAGTTTTCTTCTCAATCTGAAAGCAACTCGTTTTTGGAAGAATCAGAGATCAACCATGGCTGGATCTGGAAGCTCAGATGTGAGAACTCCAATTTTCTCTGGTGAAAATTATGAGTTTTGGAAGATTAAGATGGTGACCATATTCAAATCATATGGGCTTTGGAATCTGGTAGAGAAGGGAATTCCAATCTCCGATTCTAAGAAGAAGAAGAAGGCATCTGAGGAAATTTCAGAAGAGGAAGATGATGAGAAAGCAGCTGCAATCCTCATGAAGGATGCAAAGGCTCTGGGTATTATCCAAAATGCAGTCTCAGATCAGATTTTTCCATGAATAGCAAATGCAGACTCTGCCAAAGCTGCTTGGGAGCTATTGCATGGAGAATTTTATGGTGGAGATCATTTTAGATCGGTAAAACTTCAAAATCTTAGACGTGAATTTGAATATACTAGGATGCATGATAGTGAGTCATTGTCTACTTATCTTACTAGACTGAATGATCTGATTAATCAAATGAAAACATATGGTGAAGTGCTCTCGAATGAGAGGCTTGTGCAAAAGGTTTTGATTAGTCTTAGCAAGGTTTATGACCCCATTTGTTTAGTGATTGAAAACACTAAGAGTCTAGAGACTGTGGAGTTGCAAGAGGTAATTGCTATTCTGAAAAGTCAAGAGCAGCGATTTGAGTTACACAATGCAGATGCAACTGAGAAAGCTTTTGCCTCATTCACAGTGAGTTCAAAAGGTCAGAATAAAAATGCAACTAATTCTGGTCCATCCAAGGCTCAGAAAAATTGGAATCCTAAAGGCAAACCTTGGGAATCGAAAGGCAAGCCTCAATGGAATAATTCTGCACAGACTCACAGCTCATCTACAGGTCAAGAAGCTGTAAAACCCCAATGCAAGGTGTGCTCCAAGTATCATTTTGGAGAATGCAGGTATAAAGGCAAGCCAAAGTGTTACAATTGTGACAGGTTTGGTCACTTGGCTAGAGAGTGCATTGCAGAGAAGGCTGTGCAAAAGGCAAACTGTGCAAGTCAAAAGGAGGTGGCTGGAAACCTGTTTTATGCAAACTGCACTACCACTGAGTCAAAACCGAATGGGGATTGGTATATTGACAGTGGCTGTAGCAATCATATGACAGGAAATGTGGATTTGCTTGTTGACATAAGGACAAATGTGGCTGGAAAGGTGCAGATGCCAACTGGTGCTCTTGTGAATGTGGCTGGCATGGGTTCACTAGTTATTGACACAACAAATGGAAGAAAATACATTAGGGAAGTAATGTATCTTCCGGGCTTGAAAGAGAATCTGTTAAGTGTTGGACAAATGGATGAGCATGGATATTGTTTGGTATTTGGAGATGGAATGTGCAAGGTGTTTGAAAGCTCCTCAATGAACAGCCTCATTATCAAAGTCCAAATGATGAAAAACAGATGCTATCCCCTGTCATTCCTAGCTGAGAATCAACTGCTCATGAAGGCTAGTATTACACATAGCACATGGATTTGGCACAAAAGGCTAGGACACCTACACTTTAGAGGACTGAAACAGTTGAGAGACAAAGATATGGTACATGGATTACCTCAATTGGAAGAGCAAAATGTTGTGTGTGAAGGCTGCCAGTTTGGAAAACAACACAGGGATGTTTTTCCAAATAATCAAGCTCAAAGAGCAATCTCTCCACTTGAGTTAGTCCACACTGATCTTTGTGGGCCTATGAAAACTGAATCTGTGGCAGGAAATAAATACTTCATGTTGATCATTGACGACTGTACAAGGATGAGTTGGGTGTATTTCTTAAGAAACAAATCTGAAGCTTTCAATTGTTTCAAGAAATTTAAATCTATGACTGAGTTGCAATCTGGACACAAAGTGAAATGCTTGAGAAGTGACAGAGGTGGAGAATTTCTATCTTTTGAGTTCATAAAGTTTTGTGAAGATCATGGGATTCAAAGACAGCTCACAATGGCCTATACTCCTCAGCAAAATGGAGTGGTAGAAAGGAAAAACAGGACTGTGGTTGAAATGGCCAAGTCTATGCTACATGAGAAGGAAATACCTTATTCTCTTTGGGCAGAGGCTGTACACACAGCTGTATATATCTTGAATAGATACCCTACCAAGGTGTTGAACAATGTCACACCTTTTGAGGCTTATAGTGGAAGAAAGTCAGGCATTGCTCATCTGAAAGTCTTTGGCTCTTTATGTTATGTTCATGTGCCTAATGAACTAAGACATAAACTCGAGCCCAAGAGTGTGAAAGGAGTGTTTGTAGGATATGCAACCTGTGAGAAAGGCTATAGGATCTATGATCCAATCTCCAAGAAGCTCACCTTATCAAGAGACATTATCTTTGATGAAGAGAAGTCTTGGAACTGGTCCGAGCACTCAAATAAAGTTGTGACATCATTTCCTGATGAAAGCCTAAGTGAGCATGACTTTGATATAGGAGATGGAGCTGAAAATGTTGCACTAACACCTCAGACTCAAACCCGATATGAAAGGAGTCCATCATTCTTTCAAGCATCATCACAACATATCTCAAGTGACACAAGTAGTGAAGAAAGGAACACTCAAGCTTATGATCACTCACCATTGAAGTGGAGAAAGTTAGATGATGTGCTTGCACAGTGCAATCTCTGCATCATTGAACCAGAAAGATATGCAGAGGCAGCTCAAGACAAGGCATGGCTAAGAGCTATGGAAGATGAACTCCAAATGATTGAGAAAAATGGTACTTGGGAATTGGTTGATAGACCAACTGAGAAACCAGTTATTGGAGTCAAATGGGTTTACAAAACCAAGCTAAACTTGGATGGTTCAGTTCAAAAGAACAAGGCAAGGTTAGTTGCAAAAGGATATGCTCAGAAACCTGGACTGGATTACAATGAAACCTATGCTCCTGTGGCTAGATTGGACACCATTAGAACCCTCATTGCCTTAGCTGCTCAGAAAGAGTGGAAGCTGTACCAGCTTGATGTAAAATCAGCGTTTCTAAATGGTGTATTGCAAGAAGAGGTCTATATAGATCAACCGGAGGGTTATGTAATCAAAGGCAAGGAAGATAAAGTTTATAGGCTGCACAAGGCTCTTTATGGTTTAAAACAAGGACCTAGAGTTTGGTATGGAGAGATAGACACCTACTTCATGCAATGTGGTTTTAAGAAAAGCCTAAGTGAAGCTACTTTGTATACCAAGTCAAGAGGAGATAGAGATATTCTCATTGTCTCCATTTATGTTGATGACATTGTGTATACAGGGAGCTGCAAAGAATTGTTAGATGAATTCAAGGAAGAGATGATGATGAAATATGAGATGACAGATTTGGGCCTTCTACATCACTTTCTTGGCATGGGGGTGGTTCAAACGAATTCAAGCATATTCATTCATCAAAAGAAATACGCAGGTTCTCTATTGAACAAATTTGGCCTAAATGAGTGCAAGTCTGTAACTACACCTCTTGTAGCAACTGAAAAGCTAGTTAAGGATGACGGAAGTGGAGCAGCAAGTGAAGAGCAATATAGAAGCATCGTAGGTAGCCTCTTGTACCTAACTGCCACCAGACCCGACATTATGTATGCCTCTAGTCTGCTTGCTCGTTTCATGCATTGCCCCACAAATAAGCACTATGGAACTGCTAAACGAGTGCTAAGGTATGTGAAAGGGACTCTAGACTATGGTCTAGAGTATGTAAAAGGAAGGAATGCAATGCTGATTGGCTTCTGTGACAATGATTGGGGAGGATCAATTGATGACAGCAAAAGCACTTCTGGATATGCATTCTCCTTTGGCAGTGGTGTCTTCTCTTGGGCTTCAGTCAAGCAGAATTGTGTGGCGCTGTCCACAGCAGAGGCAGAATATATAAGTGCATCCGAGGCTACTGCTCAGGCCATTTGGCTTAGATTCGTGTTGGAAGATTTTGGAGAACTTCAGACAGAAGCAACCCCATTGCAGTGTGACAATACATCTGCGATTGCCATTACAAAAAACCCTGTGTTCCATCAGAAGACAAAGCATATTAATCGAAGATATCACTTCATCAAAGATGCACTTCAAGAAGGCATCATTGACTTGGTGTACTGTCCTACTAAGGAACAACTAGCTGACATTTTCACCAAACCTTTGGCTAAGGATCCCTTCAATTATCTCAGGAGCATGCTTGGAGTTAAATCAGCTCAAGACTTAAAGGGGAGTGTTGAATTATAAGCCTTAAGCTGACTTAAGAGTTAGTTAATCAGTTTTTTCCTTTTATCCTTGTTTTTTGACAAGTGTATGTTCTCCATTGGTTACCTAAGTGAACGGCTGAGATCATCTTGTGATGTAAGAGATCCAGCTACTGTGCATAACAGATATATTCCTCACACTATGTGTGTGAGGTTATTAGAGAGAAAATATGATGAAATGAACTCTCTGCTGCTACACGTATAGCAGACAGATTCTCTGCTAAATTTTCTTTCTGCTCCTTCTTCCACTTAATTTTTCCTTCTGCAAAATCTGAATACACTAACAGGTGCTTACCCCCTTGTTGGGTATTTTAAGGGACAGAGATTCGTCAGGGAATTCTCTTCAAAAATTTGCAGCAGGGCATGCACCTGTCCCTGGAGATGAAACAATATACGCGCTTGCTCAGTGCACTCCAGACATGGACAAGAAAAACTGCAGCAATTGCCTTAACAAGACCATCTTAGATATTCCAACATGTTGCCGTGGAAGGAATGGAGGAAGAGTCCTTAAACCCAGCTGTAATTTAAGGTATGAGAATTATAGTTTCTTTGAGTCTAGAGCCGGTTCGTTAGTAGATATTTCACCTCCAGTTCCGCCAGCACCAGCACCTGAAGAAGGTATGTATGCTTATTATGGTTACCCTGCAAATCTTCAATTTGATCCATGTCCTACAATTGTGTGGTGTGGTTTTGGTTTTTGATAAGATATCCCATCTGATTTTCAGCAAAAAAGAAGAGTAACACAAAACAAACTGTCATCATCATCGTTGTAGTTTTGGTTGTTTTTGTCACTATTGTCAGCAGCATATGCTTTTTCTTCAGAGTAAGGAAACGAAGGGTAAAACTTGAACAAGGTAAGTTCAACTCTGTTTATTTATCTTATCTGAGGTTTTGGAACTCTGTTTGCTAATTCATTTTCCCCTTTTCAGATGAGAATTCGGAGGACGTTAGTCTGGTGGAATCGTTGCAATATGATTTTGAAACTATAAGATCTGCAACAGATGACTTCTCTGATGCAAATAAGCTGGGACAGGGTGGATTTGGAGCCGTTTACAAGGTAACGAAACACTATTACAAGGAAAAAGATTCATCATGAATGTTGTTTTGCGTAATTAACTTTTCTAATTTTCTTATAAACCTTCAGGGTGAGCTAGCGAATGGAAGATATATAGCTGTGAAAAGGCTCTCTAAGAATTCTGCACAAGGTGATCGTGAATTCAAAACTGAAGTCACGTTAGTTGCTCAACTTCAGCACCGGAACTTAGTGAGGCTGCTAGGTTTTTGCTTGAAAAAAGGGGAAAGAATCCTCATTTATGAATATGTGCCTAACACAAGCCTTAATCATTTCATTTTTGGTATGTGTTTACACCATAATCAACCGAGCGTATCCAGCATCAAAGCAACTAGCACCAAGAGCATCAACACCATGACACGTGTCACCACCACAGTGACTTGTGCAAAGTCCCACATCGGAAATCTACACAAACCTCCCACTTTCACCTCCCTATAAATAGGGAATAGTATCCATGTGAAAAGGGGACTTCCTCTC